GTATGACAAAGAACTGAAATATAGTCTGGTCTTGCTTATAATATCAGTTCACCTCATAATACACTGAAAAAAAACAACCAATAAAAAACGAGAACGGTGTACGGATGGTCGGAGGAAGGGGGGAAGGGGGTGAGGGGCATCGTAGCATTAAGTAAAATTGTCATCATACTTTATTATTTTTTCATGGTAATCATAATAACCAGCTATTGGCTATCGTCCATATCACACCACACATTATTTAGGATTCGTGGAAGTGTTAATCTAGTATCATAGTTGGCTTATTGAAAAGTGAAGACATTTAAATGTTCTTTGCGTAACGAGTTAACTTAACTCGTTACTTTACTTATTTAAATAACTTCATTACTTTTATTCTAAAGTCACGAGTATAGTTTTAAAAAAAAATTAATATTCATGGCCGCTACTCGACTAGTTCTTGGGAATAAATCTAACATATAATATACATTATGTAAATTAATTACAACTATCGAATGTGATTTATTCTTTTTAAGCCGTTGACTATTTTTTCACGGAGTACATTTGAGTACATTTAGAGTTGAGGAAACGAAAAATAGATTACATATTCAGATTCGAAGTATTTTTTTGTAACTGGCGGGTACTATATAGATTATATTATAGGTAGCCTAAGGTCATACTATAACAGATGATAAAATTCTAACTTTGATGAAACACGATGATGAATGACTTTTGCTAATTGTTCGATGTTTATTATATGGATTATACTTTGGAGTAAACGCGGGAAGAATTAAAGTTGTTATTAATTACTATTAATGTAGGTACCTACTTAAGTACCTTTTAAAAAATAGGAAGCTGTAGGTATACGGGGTATCTAAGTAGGTATAATATTAAAGTATATATTATTATGTGTATAAAATATAAATACATATATTAAATCCTATTAATTTTATATATTTATTGTCTTTGTTGCAATTTTCAAATCGAGTTACAAGGACTTTTGAAATTTAATGATAATAACTTAGGTGGATAATACAATATACACGATGCAAATATACAATATGATCCATTGATATAGTATATGATTATAAATTCACACTGTTTTAATATGTTGGGCAATCATATTTTATCCCGAGTGGCGAGTTATCCATTTAATGTAAGACACTCATTATTTCAAAAATTATTTTTTTCTACATCATTTTTAGTCATTAAAAAACAATACTTTTCTAAAAACTTATATTTATATAGTAATTATTTTTTAATTGTTATACTCTTTTGAATGACAACGTGCATTTTATATACGATGTTATATTTTTTTAATAATTTTTATCGTTTTTATTCACATTCGTAAATATGTATTTCAAAGGTATAGGTAGCTTTATTTTTATTAAAAACTGTTAAATACGTGTATCGGCGTCTAGCCCCCCCCCCCCTTGCCCGTAAATACACCCACCGCTGCTTGTAATGGTGTTGACTTCTTATTCACGAGTTACCCACATCTATTTAATCCCTCAACATCATCTTATTACAATATACAATATACTTATGTGTTATTGTGTTATAATTTGTACAAGTTGTTTATTACGAATAAAAGGAAAAAAAATAGGACACAATAAGTTGCTAACTTTGCACTATGGCCGTACCATACACATTTCACTATTTCAGTACAATATTATTGTCGGTCACCACATTGGTTAACGTTTAATAGCACGAAGCTCACGCGGCATGTTAGCAGCTATCATTACATGACCTTCCAAGGTCTGGGTCGATGACTATTAAAGAAAAACAATAACCACGGACGAGATACCTATAACCTTATTCGCATATATGTTAGTAGGTGTTCGTTTTGATGCATTGCATTTTTTTTTTATTTGAAACTTTATACGTCTTATATACATGATGATTCTTTAACATCAAACATTCGTCATATTCTGTTAAAAATTGTATATTAACATTTAACATTTTGTGAAATGTTTTTTTTTATAATTTAATTTAAATTGAAAACAAAATAAAAAAATATATATAATTTTTATTCAAAAATATTGTTTTGAAGTGAATTTAAAATTTGTACTTTTTTACAATTGACGTCATATACACTTTAATGGTATAAAGAGTGCAGTTTACTGTTAAATGAATTACTATTACAGTATTACCCAGTTTATATACGCGTTGCATGACTATAATATATGGGATAATTTGAAAGTAGCAAATATTTAAATATTTAAATATTTTAAGAGAGAGACGAAAGAGTACTTTTATTCTTAAAATATAAGCTGAAACTTAATTCCTACTCAAATACCATATACTCCAATAATTTCATTGTCCAATATAAGCCATTATAATCTTATTTAATACAAGCCGTGTGAGTAAACTGTTACATTAATCTATTTTTAAAAGATATATAGAAATACAACAGTTATCTTGTCTTCTGTAATTTTTAAATATTAGTTTATTCATAATTTGTTCTTAAATGTGCATTTCAGACAATGGATTTATATAAGTATAATATATTAAAATGTAGGCAAATTTGATCAACCTCAAACACATCATAATAACAAAATTTGCATTAATTAAAATTTAAAATAAAATGTTTACTGTCATATTGACAATACCTACTTCATTCGATATATCGTATTTTATACTTTATCTACATATTAAGTACCTTCATGTAGCCAGGCTAGTGTTGCCGCGTTGAATCACAATTTTTCTCGGTGTGAGGGGGCTAATTGTAGATTCTGAGCGAAGTGATAAATGTATTGATTTTACAATGATGTGTGTGTATGTGTGTGTGTGTGTGTTTATTTTTATTTATTTTTTGTGTATTTGTCATCACTCGTCATCGTTTGGGGCAGTAACATTGTTTCAATTATCTTCAACAGTATCTTGTTCGATGGGAAATTGAATCTAGTTGGTGTATTCGGGAGGTCAAAGTTTGTTTTTAGCGGTTTACGGACATTTTCAATTTTCAATTTCCAATTTTTTTAGTTTTTTTTTCTATAAATGTCAATACAATTTTATTCGTTGGGTTAAAAAGCTTGAAAATGTAATACAAGGCCTCTGAGATATTGTTACAATAGCAGTTGAAAAATATTAAAAATACATATTATGCACACATTTTTTTTTTATACCTAAGCATCTGAAATTCGAATTTTGACCAAATTTAAAAATTATTTTGTAGTTAAAAACTTAAAAATGTTCAACTTTTATAGCTAAGGATTGAAAATTTAAAACAATGTTCCCCTAAATAGGTAAATACATAACTTTATTCACAAATCACAATAACATCATCAAATATACTTAGTAATGTAATACATAGGCTGAATGACCGTCTTCGCTCGGTATCGTTTTTCGTATACAATAATATTATATCATTGAATTCAAATTTAACACCATCCCTTACAGTGAACTACTTGTAACCTTCTGTACATCAAAGCGACACCCACTTACCCACCTTTTTTTTCTTTGGTCTTATATTTTTGTATTATGAGTTATATTCTTATTTATTATAGTTACTAAAAGTTACAATTAAGGCATTTTAAATTTAGAAATAATTACAAAAAATACTTTCTTGAACGAGATTAAATAAGTTCTAGCTAATCGTAAAGTGCATTATATATTCAATGAGTACATTTTGTTGACAGTTGTATTTGTCATTAGGGAAATGAAGTTTCAGTGTGCCCCCTGGAGAGCTAAACCTGGATTCAACACCGCATATAGGTTAAGTAAACCTACATAGTACCAACCTAAACTAAAAAGGTATCCAAAAGTATTTTTCTTATTTAGTAATACGTTAAAAAGTTTAATTTTATTGAAATTTTTATCACAATTTACAACTCTTACGTAAATTTAAAGAAATATGCTAAATATCATCATTGAGGAATCTGTAGTATACCTACTGAATAGTCACCTATATAGTAGCTAGATCAGTTATGAATTATTTTTTTAGGACATCGTATTATTAATTTCGCATTGATGTATCATCGATCATGTTGGTTATATTAACACAAATATCAAGATATTATAGGTATAGGTACCTACTTAATAGTTACCTAATTAAGTATTATAATATTTTGTAATTCGAGTACATATATTTTTTGTATTATATTATAAACACCACATATACATTTGGTTAGTTTTTATTATTTATCGTATACTTTAGAATAAATGCTGTGCTAAGATTGTGCAGTGGCAGGTATTCAAATTTCTGAACAAATCATATATTTATGTAGGTACTTTTTTATTTGTGAAATAAAATAAAATAAACTAAATATTAAATGAAAAATAGCATATTATGGTGTTATCTTGTTTAAACCGGTATTGAGAAAATGTAATTAAAACATCAATACCATAAACAAATAAAATAAAATATATTTTGGTAAAATATGGTAATGTGTCTGATACCTCGATAATTAAAAATTTTAATTTAACCATATGGACAATATTAATTAATATGGTGATAATCGAACCAATACTGTTCGGGTGAACTCCTTTAGGTTCAGCACAAGTGACAACCGAACAGTCATTCGCAAAATAATATCATATGTATCTAGTTTAATAATAATTATTATAATATAACTTATAAGTATAGACAATCACACGGGAATTGCGGGTAGGTACAATAATAATTCAGAAACTGCGATATCGACATAAGTTAGGGTTATCGAAACTCTGAACTGCAAAAAAATAATATGTCACTGCTAGTATAGTGTTATGATATTGTTTGTAATATTATGCGTATCATCGTGAGTCACGGGAACGAGACGACAATATATTATTACAATGACTTTGGAAATTAGAACAAAAGTCAGTTATGACGACCTTTTCGCTGGTACCGACGACTAGATGCCTACATCTACCATTCGCTGGTAAATCGCCCATGTTTAGGTACCAGCTACACTACACACATTTTAGGCGAGGGCCAGTAACCCACACAGTACAAGTAGGTGCCTATATATTATGATTATTCACGCAATAAATAATGTATACGGAAACAGACGACGTCGCGTCACGCACAAGACATCACTTACCTTTGGTCTTGGTCATCTTGGAATAAAGGCGTATTAGAAGATTCGATTGGACGTCGACGGACGGACGAAAAAATGTAGACTGGAGGTGAATTTCGTCGTGGACTGCGGCGGAAAGCGCGTACGACCGTTCGTACGTCGACTGATGAGAAAACTGGTCGTCGGTTCGTGTTTTGTTTGGTGGCGAGCGCGCGTGCGACGGGTGGCGGCGGCGGCGGCGGCGGCGGCGGCGGCGACGGCATGTGTGCGGACCAAAAACACGCTTACATAATAATAATAATAATATGTATATTATTATTACCTACGACGACTGCCAGTCGGACAGACCTGTATTCTTTTTTACTTTATTTTTTTTTTGTTTTTTCTCATCCACTATCTCGCGAATCGTCGTGAGCTTCTAGTGAGGATTTTTTTTTAATAATTTCGTTATCGAGCCTGCGGGGTCCTCGCCCGCCTACCACACATCCTTGACACGCGCTCATACTTATATTATAATATTATACCTTTATATTATTACAACGACGGCCGGACGTTGGCCACGCGAAATCACTATGATATTATTATTATCAATAGTACCTATAATAATATTGTGGTCACGTATATATAGTATACACCTAATTATTATATCGATATACATGCGATCGCCGAACGGACATGCCGCCGTAACTTTTCACTCGTGCTTATATTATTATTTATATAATATGATGTTTATTCACTAGGCCGTACAGTCCACATTTCATCCTTTGGCAATGCGTCTATTGTAATATCATTCTGATTTTTGGAACTTATTCGTGTACATATACCCAATCTGAGAAGGAGTGTTGACACGAAATTCTTTTTAGCTTCTTTTTTTATTCTTATTATGTTTTTGTGCAGGGTACAAGATTTCAGAGTTTTATTTCTGTGGTAGGTCGTAAGTGTGGTGAAAATAATAAATAATACAATGTATGTAATATACATAATATTAGGCACTAAGAATAATACAATATTGAAACACTTTAAGAAAATAAATAATTGTAAATAATGTATGTAGGTAGGTATACTAGGTTTAAACCAATTTGAAATCGATTTTTAATTTTAATTGCGAGATTACAATAATTAAAATTAATATTACTGCATTAATCGATAAAAATGTATGTTATGCGACATAATTTTTGACACAATATCTATAGTTAATGGTGCTCGATAGAGCTAAAAATGTATAAGAAACTTCGAGACACATCTTTTAGGGGGAATATTCCTAGCTCATTTGAGTATTGCTTTTCATTTCTTATACTCTGAGATTTTGAGGAAATAATTTTAGAACATTTTATTTGTTTTAGTGTATCTATTTTTTTAGTAAAATTATAATTTAATTTTTATGTAGTTATGTATAAAATTACTTTGAAAATCGTAAATAAAATTAAATATTAGTAATTATTATTATAACAATTATTATATACAGAATATTATTAAAATAAAAAATACTGATGTACCTACAAAAAAGATTGATCATTTCCGGGTACCTCGTATCTATATGAGTCTGGGTTCTTGTGTGACCACTGACCACACTGTTAGATCCCTATATTACGTTATAACATCTATAATGAACTTGAACTGAGTAATGGAAATGTCCCATATTTGTTTTTTTTTTTACAAATTATGTAAATTTTTTTTTTCCAGACATTGAAGCGATATCTTATTTATATGAAGGTTGCAGACACGGAATATGTTATCGATCAATATAATATTATTGCGTTAACGTCATTCAAATACACCATTAAGAATCTATCTATAATTATAAAACCGATAAAAATCTAGGCATAACATTATATTTTGTGAAACGATCATAAAGTGATTATGTTTTAGTATTTTATATTCCTTCTCTTCCAAAAGTTATTATAGGAAGGTATACTCTTTTTTGTATTCACTAATATGTAAAAAAATTATAATTTGTACCTACAGAATGCATATTTTTAAATTATTTAGTATTCCCATTTCCCGGTATAGATAGCCAGATAGGTTCCTACCCACATATTATTATTGTTATATACAATAACGGAAATGGTTTCAATTATAATATTATCAGTACGATCGGAAAATTGTGTGACGGATTTGATTGTCAAATATAGATAATAATATATAATATAATATATAATTGTATACCTATAGGCTATAATATATTATTATGGCTATATATTGTATTACAGTGGCTTACGGAGTGGTAGCCAGTAGCCACTAGCCGTTAGGGTTCTAAGGTTTTAACCTACCCACCACTTAAAATTTTGTTCTTCTACAAAAAAAATTTTTATCATCACTATAATTAATGGGAATAACATCAAAAATCAAAGTTTCAGTTCTTTTTTGGTTGATTAAAAACATTGCTGAACGTTTGCCATAATTGTATCATTGATTATTTCGACGTTTATTGCGGTCTGAAGATGTTCAGGTTAAATATACTCTAAACGTATGTAGACTTATTATTGAGACTACCTAACTTAATAATTTTTTTTCAGCCAATTATGATAAAATAAAAACTGTTTAAAAATAATTTAAAAGAAGAGGAGTGACCCCCCCCCCTCCGCTCACAAAAGTCTTGGGTAAAACCCTATAACTGACCTAAAGCCCTTTGTACAACTACTGGTCGTATACAATATACATAGTTAAAGTAATATTTTAATAGGTTGTAGGTATGATCATAAAATGTTAAAAATAAATGTAGGTACATTAAAAATTCTTGTTGAATGCATAGGTGGAAATTCATAAATAATGATTATCGTGAGGCTAACTATAAATGTCTAAATTATATATATAATAGGAATTGTTAGGTCTCATGACGCTCAACATGTTCATCAATATGACCTTGGTGGCTACGATCTCACACATCTAATAAGCTGTCTGTTTTTTTTTTTAGGGGGGGAATGATGAAATATTTAGGGAAGTTTAGCCTCCCAAGTCCCCACATTTCCACCTATATAAAAATTGTATGACTATTAATGCAAATATAAATGGTTGTGTCTTTTAGAGAAGCTGCTCAACCGATTTAAGTTATGATTTTTGTTACTATATAGTCCACATTAATATCTTACAGTTTAGCCGGGTCAAAAATATGTGGGTGGCCTGATATATTTTATATAAAAATAATTAACACAATTAATGATCTTTGTAGGTATATACTAAAATACATAAATTAGGTCAAGACCTAATTAAAATAACGTTTGTTAATATGTTTATTTATCCTTGACACAAGAAGACCTGTTATTAGAAATAATATAACTTATCTATTGATAACTCTGTGAACATTATTATTAATAAACCACCAATAACTATAGATGTACAAAACAAGCACCACATTTTAAATTTTAGTTGTTTTGATATATTCACTATATTTTTAGACTAAACGAGTTTTAAAATCAATACAAAATATAGTTTTCAACAAAATTAACAAATAAAATATAGGTGGGAAGGGACTCGAGGAACGAAAGTTTTAGCAATATACTCTTAAAATGAAACATTAAGGACACGTGAAGGAAAGCAATAATGAATAATTCTGGTATAAAAGTATTTAAATGAGATAGTATAACTTACGTAGTTACCCTAAGTTTCACAGTACCGGTGTCAATGGCGTATCCAGGGTTGTAACTTCCCCCTAAAATTGTTAAATTGTAACAACTTTATCATTAATAAATCATTTTCAGATAAAGAAAATTTCAGAAAATAAATAATAACCCGTCCCGAAAAAAAATTCTGGATACGCTACTGACCGGTCTAATACTCTATGCATATTTTTCATTGAAGTATGCAATTTCGTAAATTGTTGATTTAAATTTTCCAAATTAACAAAGTAGGTCGCAGAAAAAATGTTATACGTTTAAAACCTGTTACTAGTTTGATTAGGTTTTCTTTAGTTTGTCGAAGAGTACCAAAAGTAATATTACATCTTGGACAATTTACTTTATTGATGTCAGAGCAAAAAGAACGGTGGTAGAGTAACCAAGTAATTTGTTAAGCGATTAATTAAAAAAAAAATCTATTCAGAAAGGAGCTTAGCCTTAGACAAACTATGGACTATGTAGGTGTATAATATAATATACTAATTACAAGCTAATCCTGTACGGCGCGGCTCATAACAAAATACCTGTGGATTTACCCTGTCTTAAACTCCCTTAAACACCCTTAAATGTAAACTACAAATATTTTTAACTAGGTCACTTGGATAGCTTTGACCAAATATAAAATACAGGTCTAAAATGACATCTAATTTATAATAACAATTTTATTTTCTGTAACCAATGGCAACGTATACAAATATAATAATATAGACTTTGTTTTTCGTGAGTCAAAAAAATCTTTGTGACAAAAAACATTTATGATGTAGATATAATATACTAACTAATAATTGGGTAATTTTTTTAAATATTTGAATGTATATAAAATAAAAATGTTCTATAGTTCAAATTTTATCACGTATAGAAAGGTACTTTATTAATACTCCGGAAGTTGGAAAAATTGGTGAAGCGTGTAAACTTAGTAAATTTAATACATGAACGCATAGGTTAAATACACCCTATAATATATCTACTATTAATATAATCTTTTATAATAGTGTACCTATCAAGAATTGTGCGTAAGATACTTAAAAAAGAATTATTACCTATATTGTTCGTAAATTTGATGAGTTGTGTTTTAGGAACCTACTACCTACCCACAGGCCACAGGCTATAGCACAAAGTAACTACAGCCCATTTAGTGTCGTTTTCGGTAATATTATTTCAAATAGGCTGATTAACGAAATGTCTGCCAAAGGCGCTTATAATTGGTAGCATAATTATACTTAAAATTAATATAATATATTAAATATAAACAATATATACGTTTATTATTATATCATATCATAGGTGTGGGGACTTGGATATTTACGTATTTATATAGTAAGAATAATTTAAAACATATTATATTTCATTTGTAGAATAATGCAAGAGACGAGAAGCCACTTGTGTAATATACACATATAAACATATTATACCGTCAACCGGTAGG